CCTGCAATGAATAGTCACCATATGCTCATGAGGAGCAAGTGTGGCATTTTTAAGCCTAAAGCATTTGCAGTGACTTTTGAAACTGTGGAACTAGTTAATGTGTATGATACGTTGAGGTCTTTTAACTGGAAAGTAGCGGTTCATGCTAAGCTTGATGCTTTGCAGCGTAATTGCACATAGATTGTGGTGAAGTTACCCCCTGGACGATCAGTTGTAGGGTGTAAGTGGTTTTTTAAACTAAAAATGGATCGAAATGGTTCGGTTCATCACTACAAGGCTTAGTTGGTTGCTAAAGGGTTCTCTTAAGTCCTAGGACAGGATTTCAATGAGACTTTTAGTCCAGTGGTTAAGTTTGCTACACTTCATGTTGACTTTTCTCTTGTTGTTGCTCGAAAGTGGCAACTGCGTTAGGTTGACATTAATAATGTTTTTTTAAATGGAGAGTTGCTTGAGGAAGTGTATATGCAACAACCTCCAAGGTTCAAACAATATGCTGAGGATGGCAGTCAACTTGTGTGTAAACTGCACAAGACATTATATGGATTGCGTCAGGCACCTCGCAATTGGCATGCTCTATTAAAGCAATGTCTACTTCATTTAGGGTTTGTTAAATCTATGGATAATACATCATTGTTTATTCAACAATAACATGGGTGTTTATACGTATATGTTAGTGTATGTTGATAATATTGTCATCACTGGAGCTTTAGATGTTGAGATTGATGATATAGTTCAACGCTTGAGTGATGCTTTCTCATTGAAGGACCATGGAGAACTTGGCTACTTCCTTGGTATTGAAGTTAAGAAGTGTGGTGAGTCTCTTTTTCTAAGTCAACGCAAGTTTATACTTGAGCTATTGATGAAAGCTAATATGGATACAACTAATTATGTGGTAACGCCTATGACACTAACCAAGCTGTCACAAGATGATGGTGATCTGCTCTGTGATGCTAAGGAATATCACAATATTGTTGGTGCACTGTTGTATGTTTGGCACATTCAGTGTAAATAAAGTTGTCCAGTACATGCATGCCCCATGTCAGGATCATCTTCTTGCTGTAAAATGGATTCTTCGCTATCTTGTTAGCACACTTGATTATGGATTGATGTTGTCTCCCTATGGTGTGGATGTGGAGGTGACAACATTTACTGATGCAGATTAGGGTGGTAGTCTTGATGATAGAAGATCAATATCAGGATATTGTGTTTTTGTAGGAAACAACCTTATGTCTTGGACCTCTAATAAACAAAAGTGTTTTTCAAGATCCACCATGGAGAAAGAGTATCGTAGTGTGGCGGATATAGCAGCTGAGGTAACTTGGGTCAGCGCACTTCTTTTAGAAATGGGGCTTACACAGCATGGTGTACCGGTTGTCTAGTGCGATAATAGTGGTATTGTTGCCATGAGTAGCAATTCAGTGTACCATGAAAAGGCTAACCATGTTGATCTGGTTGTGCATTTTGTGAGGGAAAAAGTTGTTACTAAACAGGTGCTAGTCAATTATGTTCCAGCTAGTCATCAGGTTGCAGATGGATTTACTAAACCATTGTCCTTCGTTTGAGCAGTTTTGATCCAAAATGCAGGTTTTCTCATTTGGTCAAGGAGAATGAAAAGAGTAAGGAGGATATTAGAGAATAAGAGTTGGTGTAGCTGAAGTTGGTATGTTGTGTGAGCTGGTGTAGCTGAAGGTGGTATGTTGCGTGTAGTTGAAGTTGGTGCTGAAAGCTTGTGAAGATTGTTAGAGATGTTATCAAAGATGTTAAACTTGCCTGCTAGGAGTCGGTTATACCAGATGGGCTAGTAGTTGGTTATAGTTTTACCTATATAAACTTGTCATTGTGTCATTGAAATAGAGTGAATGAGAATATACACTTGTTATACTAGTTTTGAGTTTCTTAACATGGACGAAACAAAAGGGATCTTGTCAATAAAAAAATGATTTATTATTTTTTGTTTGAATGATAAATCATAATCAATAGTTAACCAATGATTGTGTAAAAATAATAAAAGTATGTTGAAGAAAAAATATTTCACGATCAAAGAGAGAATAGTCAAAGTCCCCATTCTTATATGTTATTAGGGTTTATATATTGATCTTTAATTAACTTTCTTTGCATGCTCTTGTTAAGTCTAAAATCATAATTTTTATATATAAGTTGATAGAGTATATAAATACAATCGTAAGTTAAAATATTTAATCAAGACAAATCTTTCGAGTTTATCAAGAGTCTTATTAAGAGTCTCGTCTTTTACTCTCCAATAAATCTTTCTAGAGATGATTGTTGATAGATTGGTGGGGGAATAATATTTATAGAGGTATAATAAATTATATATGTATTGTCGAAAGAGTATCATAAAATGGCTGAACTCAAGATTTAATCTAAAAAATAAAATAAATTTATAAAATAAGACTTGAATATACTTCACGGTGGAAAGATGAAGTGAAGATGTCCATAGTCTTAAATTTGAGTTGTTGATAGATTGGTGGGGGAATAATATTTATAGAGGTATAATAAATTATCTCTGTATTGTCGAAAGAGTATCATAAAATGGTTGAACTCAAGATTTAATCTAAAAAATAAAATAAATTTATAAAATAATACTTGAATATACTTCACGGTGGAAAGATGAAGTGAAGATGTCCATAGTCTTAAATTTGAATTTTGGTGTTCATTTCACTTATTAGACTGAACAATGAGAGAGCAAGCAAACCAAATGGCGGACAGAAAGGTTGAAATTTAGCAAACTAGTTACTGCTAACAGGATTTGTGATGTCAAAAACCAAATGGCATTAACATTGATATTGAGGCAAGTAGGTAGAAAACGCATTCCGAGCATCATAGCCCTTTGGTCCGTCATCAGCTACACAAGATGAAAGAAGCGCCAATTTCCACGATTCTATTGGTTTCTCAGAAAATCTACTTCCACATCCATCCATAGCTGCAGTGCAGTAGTTGTACTTGGTTTCATAGTTGCAAATCCCTCAGGGAGAGCCTTCTAGCAGTAGCATGCACTGTCGTCCTAAGGGAGTTCCTTTTCTCGGATTTATGAAGAAACCCCATCTTTTTCCTGTAACAGTAACTGTGCCAAAATCAAACTCCAAAAAGGAAACCCAGAGATCATTAAGAAAATCAAAACGTGGTGCCTAGCTAGCTTCAGTAGTAGACATTCCGGTTCCGGTAGTTTGTTTCAGCCACAGAAAAAAGTAAACCGGACTTTTCATGGAGCTAAAGCAGGTCCAATATTTTTACCAAGACCAACAGTATAATATTTCCGCAAATAATCTTATTAGGTATGATTATGAGAAATAAAAAAGCTCCGACCTGCCGGATTAATGTGAAGGAAACCCATTACAGTCCTCCGCTCTACCAAATTGTTGAATGTTTTCTTAATAATCCTTTCGATATTGTAAAATGTCTGGCAACAGAGAATCTGCTCTCTTGGTGCAGCAGTACTTGTGCAATAATCAAAGAAAATGAAAAGGGCAAAGACGAATGCGTCGTATTGGCAAAGGCAGAAAAGTAAAGGGATTTGTAGGAGAAGTTGTATTTCTTGTGATTTGACATGAAAAAACAAGTTCACCGCCTCTTCTGATGGAGAGACGAGTTACGAGCAGAAGAATACATCAGTGACTTACCCTTAAATCCCCATTGCAATTACAAAGCCCAATTCAACTTCTAGCTGCCTCGGGAATGCAAATTCAGCCCGACACAAATTGGCACTTGATAATACAAAATTTCAGTATATACGAACGTTCCTTTTACTTCTTTTCCAATTCAACTTACTATTAACAGACTACAATGCCTTCTATACATATTTACGTTTGCAAAATTAATCGACTCTGCTTTTTAAATTTTTTGGCTTGCGAAATTCATATTCTACTAATTGATTTTGCTTTTTTAGTACATTAGATACTGAAGGTGAGCAAGACGTTTTACTTTTGCAGTAGGGAAGTCAAGACCATTGGGATTATTATGGTAGGAATCTATTAGGGGCCTTACACTTGGATTGCAATAGTAAAATAATCCCTCATTTGTTTATAAAGCAGTTTAGGTTCTTCAGTCTAATCACTGTTAATCTAAACAAGAAAAAAAATCCTGAAAGGGGAGAAAGAAAAAAAAACTAAAACAAAACATTAAGTGCTTTAAACCCAGAGGAGAGTTAAGTTGATTGTCCTCAAGACCGAACATTCAAATCTCTTTGTACAATATATGTAATGCCTAACAATTTCCCACTACGTAAGATCCATATGAAACTGAATCAAACCTCAATATCACTTGGCTTTCAACTGTTACCAAAAAAAAACTACATGATAATAAGGGTGAAACAGCAAAGATCCATGGAGTACCCCTGCAAATCTCTATTCTACTGGGACCAAAAACCATGATGTTAAATTATAAACCTTCAAAATCAATGGAAGGAACATATTTGAGCTTCACCTATATTAGCTGGGATTTTGCAATTATATCATCCAACCTGCTCTGGTCACATAATAGCTTCTAGGGACTAAGAATTTAGCAGGTGTAAGAGGCAAATGTACTCATACCTCCTATCTCCCAGCCACAACACTTTGCCAATCTGGAATTCCAAAACAGAGGCATCAGCAATAAATTAATAGCTGAGAAATGAAATGGATATTCCATTGAGCTTCTGGTATATAAAATGAAACACTCAGCTAGTATTGCATAATGCATCCGTCTAGCTTACCCAGGCATATGATATACGGTAGTAACAATGCCAATGCTTTACAACTCACCTAATAATTTCAATGTAAATGTCATTAGTAAATAGATCAAACTCTTCAATCTTTGGAATGAAGATATTTCATGTATACTAATGCACATGCAACAGTTCACCACCCCCCCACCCCCAAATCTATATATATATATATCCAGAAGCACACTCAAGCCACTACAAAGAATGAAGGTATTGCCCTTCAGATTCGTTCCATGCATATAAATCTATCATTCCTCCGATAAAGATTTGAAGAAAGAAATTAAAGTTAGCAATTGATGCTCAATTAAAAAAAAATCAGGATAATGTTGCGGTATTTCCAGATAGACAATCTCTGTATGCTTGTCATCGCTAAAAGAATACTAAGCTGTACAAATCAAAAACAAGAAAGGACAAGTAATGTCTCATCTGTGGGAATCCGAGAATAAAATTTTGGATCTCGACTACCACCCTTTCAAGTATCCCTTTGTGCCAATAATACAAGGATCTTGATATCATCTTCAACGCCACTCACTTGCCCACAAAATAGAAGAGAAGCCACGACACTTCCATTGATCTCATTTATGATGATGAAAGCAATTTAAGATCCAAAAGCTTCTACCATATTTCAGTGCTGTTCCGATAAACTTTGCAATAATGCTTCAACTTAAGCAGCTTCTGATTCGCTTTGAGGGTCAATCCAGATTATAAAGCAGTGAACCATGTTCTTTTGTTCCATGAACACCTTCTAGGTAATGAACTGCAGATTGTATAACTCTTTTCCAGCATCACATATTTTAAGGCTGTGAACTCGAGCAGAGAGAGGCATTTTAGGTCTTATAGAGAAAGCCAATAAAGCATAACCAGTCAATCCTTAACACCATCATGGTTTCATGGTGTGCTTCGTTGCCATGTGCCTCTCAATCAATTTGTCTACAAAGGGACGAATCTGCATGTCAAAGGCATCCATATTAAGCTTAGTTAAGACACTAAATCAGTATTCTACAATTAAGTGTCTATTTTCAAAAGCTGCAGTTGTCCTTTTCACAGTAAAAGGGAAAGCAAGAAGTATTCAGTTTAGAAATTTTGTTAAGATCATTAAAATGATTTTGACAACTATAAAAATAAGAATCATAAATCAAAGTTAATATATGAATGAAACTTAACAAAAGCAATAATGCCCTAGCTATATCATCTCATTAACAGTTACGAAGCCAATAGAGTGCATCAGAGAATCTTTAAAACCGGGGAGAAAAAATGGGGAAAAAAATAAACCAACAATACTAATATGACTGGCTAAATAATATAACCTAAAGCAGAACATAAAGCGTATGCATACCTTATTTTTGCGCTTGAAATCAAGAAATTCAGGAACAGCCATGTTTTTTTCTGCATCTGTTGCCTGCTCCATTACCTGGTAAGATGACAGAAGCCTAAGACCAGACTGGAAGTAGATATAGAAAAGAAGTCTATAGAAAATGAGTAAAATAAAAGAAATGGATGAGAGAAGAGAAGAGGAACCTTTGTTGCAGTTTTCTTCATTATCGATTTGTACCCCTCCTTATCAATTTTTCTTGCCTTATAAAGGGGCATTAGCAATGACGCAACATAATCAACAACAGCTTGTTTAATACGATCAGCTCCACGGGGATGATTATCAAATCGTTCCTTGTTTACAGATACTTGGGAGACGGAGCTCTCATTAGCTCGTCCGTCGTGCTTCCAGGTTGGTTGTCTTGAACTAGTATTTGAATCTTCCTCATCCTTGAAATTTGTAGGATGGAAGAAATCCGGATCAGCTGCAGCTGCCTGAGACTGCCATCTCTCAATGGCATGATAATCCTTAATCCCACCACTACCAGCACTATCAACCCATGCTTTTGTGAAGATACTGCTGTCCACAGCCAAACTTTCTCCAGAGTGCTCCCTAAGTTTCAAGTCACTCTTCTGAGACAGGTTATCTGCTGACATTCCAGAACTGTCAAGGTTAACACAAGCAGCAGAGAAATCAACAGACCAGTCTCTAACTCTGCAGTTCCGAGAGTCTATTTCTGATATACAATCTTGTCTTCCTAAAACACCACCAGGCCATTTCCCTTCATCCATTTGTGCGTATTGCTCCCTTCTGGCAAATTTGTGAAAAGATGGAATCTTTGGAAGCTGCAGCAATTTGTTGCAGTTGGCTTCTGTGGATGCAAGTGCCTGCATAGTACAACTTTTATGTACACAAGTCCATGATATAGCAGAAAAGAAAGAATGAATTTTTTTTCTTTATTGAAGGCAAAACAAAAAGTACATGAATGACATGATTCTAATACAATGTTAGGCAATTCTTTCCATTTCCAAATTAATGCTCAATAATATCACAAGCCAGCCAAATTTGTTCAGTCTATCAACTAATGATATCAACCTGATCAAAAGTTAAAAAGAAGCATTCATTCAATTCTTTCACAGTGCAAAACCTTCAAAAAACATTCTTAAAAGAGTATACGAGAAGGCTAAATGTTGAAAACGTTAACACCAAAACAAGGGATAAGCTCTATAAATCTTTGGGTGTCGAAGGGGAACAAGGTAAAATCAAACACCAAAAAGAACAAATAAAGCCTTCTGCAATGTGGCATCCAAGTAACAGTTGTTTAGGGACAATGCATTAATATTGATATGCCACTGTAGATAAGGTTAAGAAAGACACCTCTGCAGCTGCTTTTGCTGCAGCTCGGGCAGCTGCTTCAGCGGCAAAGGCAGCCTGCTCTTCCTCTGACATCCCTCGATTGACAGCTTCCACCTCCATATCAACTGATTTGTCATTTTCTTTCACACCGAAGGCGAAAGGATACTGGTTTCCAGCAGAAAAAGTATCCTGCAAGATTGCTTTGTTTTCTGAAGCACCATGTCGTGAGTGTAGAGGTGGCTTTCCTGAAGCTGGATCTTTAAGGGATTTTCTCTTTGAAGAAGCTTTTGCCTTACGGAAGACTTCAAGCCAAACATTAACCAGCTGGCTTGCTATAGCGCGTATGTCACGACTTGTATGCACACAAATTTTTTCCTTCACGGTTTTCCCTATGCCTAAAAAAACAATTATTAATAGAAGTGTCATCTTAGCCAATTTTATTCATCATATACTACTTCGTGGAAAAGCAACATAAATTCACATACAAAAACTTCACACATGTCATGCAAATGCATTATGAATGACAAAATATATATGATAGCACGATATAAACAAGTACCTGATAAACGAACTGCGAGTAGATCAGTTGAAACAAGAACAAGAAGACGAACACAATGGCGCAACAATTGAGTCCCATCTTTCCCCATTGAATCCTATATATTCCAAAATGAACACAATAAACATCAAAGCCATTATTTAATGCCACTAAATATATGCATTACTCTAACAAAACCGTATTAGGACACAAGCATAGACAATAAATCATGAAAAGGAATAATACCAGCATCCATGAGTTCAGTGTGGTAAGCCCTTCCTTTGTCCCAGCAAAGGATTTCAAGGATTCAACTGGGAGACCCAACAACCTTTTGGCCAGATGCAATCGTCCTGCAGTGGTTTTCACATTAAAGAACATGTCCTGTAGTAAGGCTTCCCTGCTCAAAACCCGGGCTCGATCCAAAGAGTTCTTGTACAAGATATTAGAAAGTTCAACTGCTTCGAGTCTCTTAATTATGTCCCTAACTTCATCCCTTCCTGATTCTGATTGTCTCAGTGCAGCCTCCATTGCCTCTACTTCAGCTGTATAATCATTTCCAGTGGTAAATATGTCAATTAATCGCACGGCTTCCCGAAGTCCACTCAACATTGCACCACCAACAGTGTCAGGATGCTCCTTGCAGGTAGCTTCTCCAGCAAAAAACAAGCAGTTCTCAACAGGCCTACCCAACATGTCATAGTCCTCTCCAGATGCTCCAATGGCAACATAGGAGTAAGCACCATAGCTGAAAGGATCCCTGCCCCAGTCAGTCACAACTGAGGCAACAGGATCAGGAACTGAAGCTTCTCCAAAAAGTTTACGGAGAATAATTACAGCATGGTTAACATGATCAGATGAGCTCACACTTTGACCATCAATAGCTGCCTTACCAGCCACTAAGGCTATCAGAACAGGAGCCCCAACAGTTTTCCGGACATTCCAAAACATAAAGCAATGGCCTCTACTATCTGTTTCCTCAGCAGTCACTCCAAAGTAATCCACAGAATCATCCCAAAACACTTCTGGGAATTCCAAAACAACTTTATTAAGCACTCCAAAACCAAGCCGCTGTATGGATGATTGTTTCCATTGGGGCAGTGGAGGAGAAAATTTTATGGCCCCTGCTTTCAGGCAACCAAGTGGCACGGTGATGAGCACAGCATTCCCTGAAAACTCACTACCATTTGATGTGGAAACTTTGACCTGCCCATGATGACTATTATCCAGCCCAGGGTCCTTTGGGCTGTAAGAAATATTTGTGACTACATGGTTCAAGTTGACTAGAAGTCCTTCGCCAAGAGACTCAACCACCTTACTATAACCCCCTTTAATCATACAATGGGCTCCTCCAAATCCACCATAAACATCATCTTGATTCCAATTGGGAAGAGACACTTCCTTAAGCGAAGTGGCACAGCCATACTCCAAGTGGGCATAGTGCCAATTCATAACCCTTCTCTCAAGGGGACTCAAAAGCTCCTGCTCAGAACATTTTCTTTCAAAAAAATTTCCGGAGACATTGCTTGCTTTGGAATCATAGAAAGCATCGACTGAAGAATGTGATTCTTTTTCTTCAATCTCTGCTCCTATTTCTTCCATTCGATGCCTTTTTAGGGCATATTCTAAACCATCCTCAAGAGACATGGTCATTGCTTTTTGACCTTTTTGACCAACAAGAAACACCATGTCGTCAAGAAGACTATTGTATTCTGCTTCCAGAGCATCATCCAGATCAGCAGGAACCTTTTCACCAGACACAATGTCATAAAGAGGACAGGAACTATTCAACACAGTCAACTCTAACCCCAACTGTGCACAAATCAATGAGGAAGGATCCGGTCTTCTATTAGTTGATACATCAGCCTCAACTCCAGTAATAATGCTAGCCCCAAGATCCACAGGTACTGAAAGAGAGGAGCGATCAGTATAAACACGACCTCCGATTCTATCCCTAGCCTCAAGTACAACTACAGAAAATCCCTGACGTTTTAAGTGGCGTGCAGCAGTCAATCCAGCAGGACCAGCTCCAACAACTATGACATTCTTTCTGGCCTCTAAATCACCCTGCAGGTGATGATTCCCATCGGAGTTATCATAAGTTGCAGGCTGAAAATACTGTGAGTCATTCCGTCCTTCTGAAGTTACTATAGGGGCTATTCCCATGTCAATTGCATCACAAGATTGAGCAGCACTTGGAGCCTCTGAACTAATCAATCCAGGATTTAGTTTTGCACTGATGCTTCCATTTTGCTGGGAACTATCACTTGGCCATTCTTCTTGTTCTTTTACATAAGGTAATTCTGGTGTTATTATGGCTACAGATGTTTGGTTTTGATCATAAACCATAACACCATTCTTTGTCTCAATAGAAGCTTCAGAATTCTTGACCTGACCAAGGATAAAGGCAACACCATCCTCTGAATCAGCATTACAGGCCAAAGAATTACCATCATCTTTTCTTTCCTCGAGAAGGTTGTAATTGGCCTTAACACCATGGCCCGTCTTCTCTTTCTTTGAAGCAATTCCAAAGTTTATGTAACCCTGCAAAGAGGAGGTTATCTAACTTTCAGGACCAACATAATATACCAAGTACTAGAAATTCATGGAAAAATCATCCATCAACAAACATATATGACAATTTTTCATTCATTCGAGAGTAAACACTTACACCCTGATCAAGAAATGCATATATTTCCCTAAGTAGGGAAGCTCGGGGTGATTCACCTTCTGATGGAGTGTCACTAACACCGCAGTCAACAAGAGGCAAAATGCGGTTAACATCTTTACTCCAAAGACCTAAGATATGATTCCTGCAACAGTCAGTGATAAAATTCCATTGAGAAGAACAGAACTTTTTGAAATAGAAAATTTTGAAGGCAGTATATTGGAAACTGCCAATCCTGTCAACTTCTATCAAAGAAAGTAATCAATACAAATCCTAAAATTTTACGACTAATTCTATGTTGAGATGCCAAACCAGATCATAAAAATTACAACAAAAGATGCTACCTGGCAGGCTGGCACACAAGGTCTCAAGGAAATTAATCACTGTAGTATATAGCTTAAAACAAAAACAGAATGGAAGCACAAAAAGGAAGCCATACTCAAAAGCATTCATAATAATCATAAATCGTAAACAAAATCATATGCATATTCACAAACCTGAATTCCAAATATTCCTGCAGCCCACCTCTACACTTCAAGACCTCCTTAAATTTGATCTTCTCAACAGGTCCCACGGCACGAGCTTTCAGTCCAGATGATATTGCTGCTTCATGAAACTTCTCTCTTGCTCTGACGGAACGGTCACTGTCTGCAAACTGTTGATTTGCAAAAAAACCTTGCTCATTTAGCAAATTCTCCCAATCAGCATCCCCTTCATAAGCCATATCACCTTGTCTACGCTTTTTAATATTGTGCCCACCTCGCTGGATGATCAATGACTTACTGTCTTTGATATCAGAACTAGGAAGAGAGACTGCATCTTCATGACAACTTTCATTTTCATCAGGTGTTGATGTGGGAGAATCAACATTGGCCACATGGCATGCATCCTCAGATGGTTGATGCGAACCAGAGTTGCACCTCTGAATGGAGGCCACAAGTTGATTTGGATGAACACAGGTTTCTAAAGAGTTGTCCTCAGTGCAAGTATTTGGAACGACTCTGCAAGTCTCTTCCATCTTCAGTGAATCAACAACAGACAGAGACAAAGCATGTAGAGTTTGTTGTGAACCATTAAGATCTGGTTTACTCTGGTCAACTGCTGGACAATTGTCCCCGAGCTCAATGTTGGAATGCCAATATCCGCCCTTGTCACAAACTTTAGGTGACATACATTGATCCTCTGTAGGACCCTTTTGAACATTTAAGTCACCTGGTTCCAAAATGCTCTCTTGTTGACACACACTATGGTCAAATCTTTGATTCTCAACCGTGTTGCATTCTTTGGAGGATGAATGTGAGAAACTTGAACTAGAAACTGAATGAGAATTATCACCATAATTTCTGCTAGGATTCTTAGAAACAGAAGCATGATAGGAAGCCTTGCGATTCTGTTTCAAACTCAAATTTGGGCGAGACTTTCTTACTGTACCAGATTGTGCCTCGTGTGAAACCTCTGCCAATTGTTCTTTCAACTTCTCATCCAAATACTGAATCGAGCCAACTCCGGACCACAAGCCTTCCTCATTCTTATCTTCCTTGTGCTTAGTTCTGGATTCATCATCAACCTCAATGGATTTTTTTTCTTTTGAATCAATCTTGGATCTCCTTACTTTCCCTGTACGCTTTCTTTCGCCACCTTTATCAGTGGCCACATCAGACTTGTCCTCACCAGTACCCAGATCTACCACACCAGTCTTTGATACAGATTTCCCATCCAAAACTCCATCAGCCTCGACGGACTCATTCAAAGAACAACTCCTTACCCTCACTGCTCCCGGATCAATATCTTTCTTAGGATCCTTTAACTTCTTTCTGAAGCTCGCCAATGTATCATTCATTCCCCCCAAATCCTCCTCATCCTTGCCCACAGTTTTACCGGCCTTAACTTCACGCTTCTGGCACTTCCTTCCACTGCCTTTAAATCCAGCCTTATCCTTCTTAGGATTCTTAGGTTTTCTTAAATTCAATAAAGACAAAATGGGCTCATTATCATCTGAATCAGCACCAACTTGTGCCTCTGTGACCTTTAGTCTTTTCTTAGAGCCCCCATCACCATCCATTTTCTTTTTCCTAAGTTTCAACGGATTTGGTAATGAAACCTTTTCTAACCCTAGCTCAGCATCATTCCCCAAATCAAATTGCAGTTGTTGACCTGCCTTGGAGTTTGAACAATCATCGCATCCCATCTTTCAATAATAAAAAATCCGAAGCTCATAATTTCAAATAAAACGATTCCTACGTTCAGGCAACTAAAGCCACAAAACAACCGAAATTTCCAAGCCTCATGAAATCCTTAAATATTCACCAAAAAATTTCTATTTACAGATAAAATTGATAAGAGTGTCTCCCAATTATTGAGTTATAGACAAGGACGTCAATGCCTTGGTCCTACTCTCCCTCTACTGCACGGAATCCAATAAGGGAATAAGATTTCGAAAAAGGAAAAAAAATCTAGGGTTTTGAAAAATAACTAATGAGGCCTGAAGAAGGGATATAAAGATAGAGAGATTTGGAATAAAGCACACCTGAGGGAACGAAAAAGCAGTGAAAACGGTGGCGTTAATGGAATTTGTCGAGGAGAGTCAGAGGCGCACGTTAGCGTCGTTTCTGCTGGAACTAGTATTTAGAGGCCATCCCCCTTTATATTACCGCCGTGCCAAAATTCTATTTTCTTCCAAACATCAACGTTTTCAAATTGTAATACTTTTACCCGACAATGGCTAAACTACATTTATGGTCATCATATTATTATCTTTCTCCTATTTTAGTTATCAAATTATTTTTTCTATAAATTCAATTATCAATATTTCATTTTTTTTAATAGTCATATATATGGTAACGAAGTAAGATATAATAATAATAGTTTTCAAATTTTATATATTCTATTAATTAAATTTTAACTTAAAATAACTCATCAAATATTCAGACTCAACTCTAAAATTTCATGTCCTTTTTCTAATTCATTTGTAATATTTTTTTATTTATCCTTATTATCTAAAACAGACGAAGAATATATTATTTTAAAAAAAATGAAAGTGATGTGATGATAATCCACTTAAATAAAAGTTTACCCGAAACAAATCACCCACAGAAAACTTACACAAATTAAATTAGAAGACTCTTATTCCCATATATAATGGGGTAAGGGGGAAGTAGGATAGTAGGTGCCCACAACACCAAGTTGAGAGCAGCTTCCGTAGGAGACTTCCGAATTATGAATTGACCACCGTGGGACCTTGTGCTCTACCAACTAAGCTGAAAAAACTTACACAAATAAAAAAAATAATATTAAAACAAATCAAAACACTCGCACTCATACACTTGATTGACATTGTTATAATTTTCATGACAAACTCCATTTTTGTTGGGTAAACTACGTCAATGGTCATTAATGTTGGGTTAGTGTTCGTTTTTACCGCTGATGTTTTAAAAGTCACAAATCGGTCACTGACATTATCGTTTGTTATAAAATAGTCAGTCGACGTTAACAGCCGTTAACAATCATTACAGAATGGTGACGTGACACGTTAAATCAGCTGACTCAACACGTTAAATCAGCTGACTCAACACGTTTGATCGATCCCTTAACTCTTCTTCTTCTTCTTAGAAAAACCAGAGGCTACAACAGCAACCGGAGCCCATAAACCATAACCAAGTAGGTCCGGGTGCCGGACTTGACCCAGTTGTTGCTAATGGAATCCCTTCTTTCTCCGAGTTCACCTTGGCTGAACTTAAAGCGGCCACCAATAATTTCAATTCAAATAAGATAGTGGAAAAAAAGCTCCTAATCTTGTTTATAAAGGTCGTTTGCAGAACAGAAAATGGATCGCTGTTAAGAAGTTTATTAAGATGGCTTGGCTTGGTTCAAAACAGTTTGTGGTATTATTATCTGTCTTTGTTTTTGGTTTATTGCCTATTTTGGTATTTGGTGGGATATTTGAAGTAGGTTATTTTGGATTTACTTTAGGAGGAAGCATGTGGAGTTTGAGACACAAAAGACTGACAAATTTGATAGGATATTGTTGTGAAGGAAATGAAAGGCTGCTTGTTGCTGAGTGCATGATTAATGACACACTTGCTAAGCATTTCTTCCATTATCAGTTTTCCATTCTCTTTTAAACAACAACCAATCTATTATCAATCAATCTATTCTAAGCATTATTAACAAGATATGATCCAACTCCCTACATCGCAACACACATAACCATGTTTCTTTGATGCTTTCGCATGTGGAAACTCACAACATACTCCTCCTCATCCTTATCATCACTTCGCTTTCTCTTAAGCTGTGAAGAAGTAGATGGCAGCGCCTAAACATTATCATCGTCTTTAACTTCTTTATTACCTGAGTCCACATCACTTCCTTCAGTATCATGGTCTTCTGCTTGCACAACTGGTTGAACCAGGTAACCTTCACCATAGTCATCATCCTGTCATTTTCAATCAACAAATTTTAGTTTAAAGATAATGAGATTACTTTAAAACATCACAAAATTCACTAAATAGAAGCCAATATATAACCGCAACCTTAAAAAGTAAAGTTGCACCATGCAAAATATTTAAGCCTCAGCTCCCAATAATTTATAAATGAGATGTTAATAATTACAACACCACCAAAAGAAAAAAATCAAGAACTAAACTACTGCAGCAACATAAAATTATGCTTGAATGCCAGTATATTTTTATAATGAAAGATAATATGTTTCTTTAAATAATCGGTAATAAAAAAATTCTGAATCAATAATGGAAAATGGGAGAATAGAGAAGCGAAAGCATTAAGATGAACATGAAATTATCAACTTAAAGATACCAAAATAGACAGCCATGGATACAATAAAGAAACTTCATGAAAAAGGCAGCCATGGACACTGTAAAGAAACTTTACACAGCAAATTGTTCTACAGCGGCGTTTTGAGAGTAAACGCCACTAACTTTAAACATATAGCGTCGTTTACATTCCAAACGCCATAAAATGGTAACTATAGTGTCGTTTTTTCAACAAATGCCGCAACAGAGTAGTATTTTAGTGGCGTTTTTATACAAACGCCGCAATAAGTTCATCCATAGTGGCGTTTCTCAACAAACGCCATGACAGAGTAGTACTTTAGCGGCGTTTGTATAAAAATGCCATAATAGGGTTCATATATAATGTCATTTTTTCGACAAACGCCACAACAGAGTAGTGCTTTAGCGGAGTTTTTTTACAAACGTCGCAATTGATTGGTATGTTTGTGGCGTTTGGGTTTAAAAACGCCACAAATTTTAAAAGTTTTATCTCCCTTCATCCCGATCTATTGTTTTAAAATTTTAAAATTCTAAAAGTTTTCCCTAACATTTTCTGCTTTCTGCTGTTTGCAAAGAACCAACAACTCTATTGTTGATTGGTTTGAAAATGATGACAAGGATTTAAAGCCACAGGTGGTTGCTGAACTGAAAGCCGAACAATCGGTATCAAATGGTGCGATGAAGATGGAGATTGACGGGGAGACTTAAGAAGACGAGATCATGACTGAATCCAACAGAGAAGAAGGTCAAGAAGAAGAAGAAGATATGGTTGTTTGCGAAATCGACGTCTTCTATACTCCTTCAATTGGCGCAGACACTCAAGTAATTGCGCTTTTATTTCTTTTTGTTTTCTTTATTATTTAATTTTTCACTTTTGCTTATTATGCTTTTTTTTTGGAATAAAATTGTAGTTATATGTTTTGCAATATCCTTTAAGACCTTGGTGGCGACCATACGAGTTAGATGAACGATACAAGGAGGTTGCCTCTCATCCCCCCTTTCCTCCTTTTCTCTATTTGGACCAATCTCATTCTTTGGTTATTTTGCAGGTAAGGGTGAAACCTGCTAGTGCGGAAGTGGAAATTGACATGTATGTCGATGTTGATTCAATAAATTATGACAGTGAATCTGATAAAAAATGAAGATGACAAAGCAGGTTGGCTTGGCTCTGATTCTACATTATTTTTTATATATTTAAAAAAAATTAAGTTAAATGTGTTCTTTTGATTTGTTTGTAACCTTGGCTAGTGGTTTGACATGTGTTTTCGAAATCAATTTTGTTTGATAATCTAATTTCGTATTGTTATTACTTTTTAGACTTTATCTTCTTCTTGGCTGCCACCACGCCCAACTGCCTATGGCTCTGTTGTTGGAGTTTTAATGGGCGATAAGGTATGTGCATCTTGTTTCTCTTGGATGAGCTTTTTTTAGACTAGTTATATAATATTTGACATGTAAGGTTCCAGTCATTATATTGAAGCAGATACAAGGTCCATCCAGAAAGTATGGTTACCTTTCTAGTTTATTTCTAGCTTCCACAGGCATACGAATCAGAAGATGCAATTTGGTATATGTATGCACTACAGCAAAATTGATATGTAGCGGCATTTTTAGCGGCGTTTGGAGAGAAAACGCCACAAAAGTTAACATATAGCAGCGTTTACAATCGTAGCGCCATAAATTAATACTTTAGCGCCGTTTGTTGTAAAAATGCTGTAATAGATTTGACATATAGCGGCGTTTTTACAAAAAAACGCCGTAATAGGGTGGTTTATTACGACGTTTTTTAACAAACGTCGTAATAGATTAACATATAGTGGCGTTTTAGCCAAAACACCGCAATAGATCGGTAAATTAGCGGCGTTTATACCACAAACACCACAATAGATTACACATATAGTGGCATTTATTCTTAAAACGCCGCAATAATGATAATAAATAGTGGTGTTTTTAGATAAACGCCGCAATAGTGATAATCAATAGTGGCATTTGTAGAAAAACGCCGCAATAGTTTAAATCAATAGTGGCGTTTTTTAACAAACGCCACAATAGTGTAATCAATAGTGGCCTTTTTTTGTATAAACGCCGCAAAATGTTAAATATATAGTACTCATTTTCTCCTACCCAAACCCTAAAATCAATTAAACTCTTCTTCCCTCAAAGCTTCTTCTCTAGAACAACAATATCTCTCAAACGATTCCTACCGACGTCGTCGTTTGTATGTCCCGGTGACCAAATCGGGCCTCTCACCGATGAACTATAACACAACTGCACGGTTTGATCTCTCTTATCATTAATGATCTTTTTCATTTTTTTTGGTCTTCTGAAAATGGGGAAAACCCAAAAAGCTAACGTATTTGAGAAAAAGAGAGCAGGTGTTGCCTTGAGTAAGAGAAATTATCGTCGACGGAATGTCTAAGTGGCGTATTTGCTCTAATGATAGATGGAATTATCGTTGGGAGGATGTCGGTCCGGTCTCGCCGTCGAAACTGGATGATGACCCGAAAGGAACTCCTATTGCTCCATACCCTTCCATAGCCGATCTCCTTCTTGAAGGTAATAATCTATGAATCTTTCAGCAGCTATAATTTGTTTTTCTATGCTCAGTCAAATTTCATAGATTGTATGCATATAGGATCTTCGAAGCTTATTGAGAACGATGATAGAGGAGTGGATAAATACCCGATGTTTAGAACTGAATTTGGTAACTCTGTGGCGTTGAAAGAATCTTCAATTGCAAAAGCAGTATCTATCCTCAATGAAGATGAAGTTGCCTCTACTGTTACTCCAAGTAAACATTTATATCATCTATTTTAATTTATTTTAATTTTTATTTAGTTCCA